AAGCTGTAATCGTGTTTTGACTTGTAAGATTAAAGATTTGTCAGCAATTAATTTCCTTATATCCTTTAATGCTAATTCTAACCCTTCTTGTTCTTGATCCTTTTCAAGTTTTTTTAGATTATATGCAAGCTCCCTTGCAGATTGATGTGGTATTTGTTGAGGTGTGAAAAAAAAAGTATCAAGTTTAGAGATACCGGCTATTGCAATTTTAGCAGCTGATTTTTTACGCTTTTGTTTTCTTTCAGAATTTCCAACATAAACTAATAGACGCTTATTTGTAAATGATGTTGACACTTTTGCATTTTCAATTATAACATCAAAAGTAGTCTACAAAATTTGTTTTAGATTTTCAAATTCATTATTATACCAATCATCATCAGAATCATAACAATCTGACAATTCATCATCATCGCTATTAATTACATTTTTTGCTTTTAAAGCTTTATTGTTTCGTGCAGCTTCAAGTTGAATTTTTCGTGTCTTTGGTGGCATTTTTTATAAGAAAATCTGCAAATGTTAGATTGCGCTAAAACAAATTTTCACATGCTAAAGATATGATTGATCTGATCTTTTTACCACTTAACCTTTTAAAAAATTCTTGATCGCCTGTTTTGGTTACAACCAAATTTTACCTTTTGCCATAACCAAAGCTGCCAATCAATTAACTGTGTAAACTTCAATTAATTTGAATTAATTTAGATAGATTTATATAGCGATAATAAAAAAACTTTCAGTCTTTATCTTTTTGATCACATATATTATATCAAGCTTGTATTATAGCATATAAAGATTGGGACTACCGAAGAGACTTATATGAACTCATCTTGTGACAATTGAAAGAGATTAAAAATATTAATTCATTCTAAACGATATTATGCTGCAGCTATCCTGAGTTTTATTTTTTTATAAATATTGGCCTGTATTATATTAGTACTAAACTGGCCAAAATCTGTTAGATTTATTCAAAATATAGTAAAATAGCCAATACAAAAATTTATATATATTATGCTACAGTAATTCAATTTGAAAAAACTCTCTGTTATATAAAAGAGTATTGTTCAAACTATAATTTTACAGAAAGATTTTTAAATATTATTAATTCAAATTTTTTTTTCTATTCATTTGAAATCACATGATAAAAAGTAGTATCTTTAGACTGCATGCACCATATTTTATGAGCTAATTTTTGTTATTTGTTATAAAGTTTTCCCTATGAGCTTGCTACCGACATTTCTTGGGAAGAATATATTGAAAAAATGGATAAATACAATATCCATAGCTGGTAGGAATGGGAAAACGGGGTAGTTAGTGTAATAGAACTTCCATTGAGATTCCACAAGTACTGTATTGGTTCTATTTCCTGGCAAATCAGTGTAATGACTATAGGTGTTATCAGCACTAATTAAGATATTCTTTCTGCTAGAGCAACAAGTGAGTAAACTTTTTTTAATTTCGAATATTTTTCCATTACCAACTAACTATCTTTGACTAAAGCAACAAAATCACGAGAATCAGGTAAAGAAGCAGATGCCTCTTATATACCAGTAGCAAAACCTCAAGTCAATAATAATGGATCTGATGGAAGTGTATGAATTAGTTTAACTTGTTTATTTACATTTTAAATTTATGGTACTAATAATTACTATATTTTTAGAATCAGCCCTGACCGAATTTAGTAGTGGAGGTTGCGTATTTAGAAACTGAAGCAAATGTCAAAAATAAAGTAGAAAATTATTGGCTAGTAACTGGTTGAGACAGTGTGTAAAAACTATGTGCATATTAATTTTTTGTGTGCACATATTACACAACATAAAATATGCACAAATTATTACTAAAAATAGATAAATTATGTACAAAAAAGGTAATTTTACATAAGAAAATGTTATGATTTTCTTATTTTAGTAATAATTAATTAACTTGTGCACATAAATTTAACTTAGGTTTTATATACTGGGTTGAGCTCATGACGCTATTATGATTAAATTGAAACCTATTGATTCAGCCATAGCACCATTATGCATGACTGTAAGTAATAACAAGATGATTTGATTCCCACTTAACTTTGGTACTGAATAGTTTTATTCTTAATAGGCTTGGCATTATTGCACAAATATTCAAACAGCTGCTAGTGCATTAAACCCCACAATGATATATTTTATTATTCTATACTTTTAGCATAGAATTGAAAATAAATTAAAGAAAGGTATTCCTTTATTTAGTACGAATTTGAAACAGTTGATCATCAGAGAAATCTAATCAATCCACAACTTGGACAAAATGTTATCTACATTCAACTGAACTGTCTTTATCATGAGGTACTAGCTAATTTTGTGATTCCACCTCTTTCTAACCCTATTCCTATTGATCTATTTTATACTAGGTTTGCTATTGAACATTGTATTGTCTAGATATTCACCTTTATAGTAAGATTATGTAGAGCTGCACCACAATTCATAGTTTGAGCTTCATTTTAACGTACAATAATTTTGCACTGGAAAAGTACTATAAATAAAATATGCTGAACATATTTGACAAGATATAAATTACTTATGCTCTTGCCTCTTGTCATAAACTAAATCAATAAGACTTTGAATATACTGACTCTGAAGCCAAGTATCCAGCATGTAAGAGTGTTCACACACATCGAGTAACTGGGATAAATTTATTTATCATTTAATAGAAATTGCAAATTATGTACAAAAATATACGTTATCTTATAGAAAAAATAGCGTATTATCCCGATCAGGCTCATTTAACAAGGATTTGATGCAATTTTAAAGGAAGTAAATAAAGCATTAAAAACTTTAATACCTCTGAACCTTATTAGTAATAGTAATTGATTATACTCACTTGTCAGTAGAGTAAAAGAAAATCTAGCAAATTATCATTTACTTGCGGTTCTGAAAGAATATTACATTCTCTGATGTGTTGCTGGTCAGATTCACTGAAAAGATTCATGATCATTTCATCACTTGTATCGATAATAAAACTGAGCGCGCATAACTTTAAAGTTAGATTGCAATTATAACAACTCTATATATGCCTTAGATGTTTACCTTTTATAGTTCAAATTTATTATATATAGAATGTTTTCAACAAACTTTTCAGAAGGTAATTTTCACTTGTTCTTTGAACGCAATTTGTGATACTTTGATTAATATTCAGCCCTTATTTCATCCTCTTTGCATGTAGAACAATATCAATAGAATAGTTGAAATACATTATTAAAAAATTTTTTTCATTTATGTAATTCTTTTTACTACCTAAAGGTTTTTTTACAATCGTAGTTTGCTTCATTTAGCTTCTTCCGTATTCACTCTATAATTGCACTTACTGAAATCCTTATTATGATTATCATCAATATTTTCTTATTCTAGATGTGTAATAAGGAAAATAAATTTATTGTGCACAACTGATGTAACACCAATTTTTAAATACTCATGGCAATTTCATTACTATTTATAGTCTCAACATATTCATCAAATGAGACATTAAACGTTTTTGCCTGTATCATATTACAAAAAATGATTTATCAAAAGTATTATCATGATGATCAATGAAAAATAATTGGTAATTTCTTGTTATTTATGTAGAAATTGTATCAAAATTATGGATTTATCAGCTTGTTGAGGTGTACTTTGGATGATTTCATACAAATTATTATCTTCTGAGCCATTTAATGATATTAGAACTTATTAAGCTGGACTTGGTATATTTTCATTTAAAGAAGATATAATAATATTACTTCTAAATGTATTGTCATAGTTCGCTTTTTGCTTTAACCTTGATTTTTGTTGCTTGATATATTTCAAAAATAATATTAGAATCAAATATTCAAATATTTATGATCATGCGAAACCAAAAAAAATAAATAAATAAAAAAATTATTTACTCTCTTAAGTTTTTTTGTATATTCTAAATCTGATGAATTAGTTTCATTCCCTGAATTTTCAGTATAGCATGTTGGTTTTTTTTCTTGTTGATTTCTTTTATACAGGAAAAGTCATAAGTCAGATCAATGTAATTATTCTTTAAGTCTTAACTGGGCTCACCATTTTTACGGGTTCTATTGAATGTTCTATATCATTCTTTCTTTGCAAATTAGACCTCTTTGTCTTATGCATTTCTTGGTTTTTTAAGACCTTTCTCATCTGCTACTGTTTTTTGACTGTTGACTGGTAGTAGTATGTAAGTTCAACACATATTCTGTTTGTAATCTGTTTTGGATGTATATCATTTCCAGTGTTGAAATTATCAGCAGCAAATTGTACCTATAAATTTTGTATGATCAATATTTTGTCATGACATATTCCTTCTTATCATATTACAATATCACATACCATTACCAGTTTATCTCTATTTTCTTTTGTCTTATAATCACATTTATATCCATTTTCTTCTTTTCTGAATCAACTTTCTACCAGAAAGTTTTAACTTCTTCTATTGTTTAAATGGATGTAAAGAGTTGGTCAAAATGTGTAACTCAAAAAAATATACTCTGAACACCTAAATATGTAGCCCACTGTGAAATGAAACCCATAACTAACTTGATGCGATAGCTAAGCCGTTTAGATGCATGAAAGCCTGACTTATAATACTAAGAAAATGCCTATCAAGGAAACCCATAACTAGTCTGATGCAATAGCCAAGCCACTAAAGTGATTGTATCAGCACAAAACCCTAACTCCTAATACTAAAAAAACTCATTGAGAAAACTCTACAACTAGCCTGACGTGATAGCTAAGCCACTTAAATGCATGAAAGCCTGACTTATGATACTAGAAAAAGCTCACCAAAAAAACCCATAACTAGTTTGATGTAATAGCTAAGCCGCTAGTTGTATCAGCACTAAGGTTGCTGGACGAAATCAAGAGTTTAGACAGACGTCTAAATGGTAAAAGTAAAACTTGGTTAAATTATACAGTGGCTTCCAAAAGAAACGCAAGTGGCATTGCTTGCCTTTAAATGCCTGTAACTCACTGTGCACGAATGC